TGTAACAACCATTCCCTATCAGTATCATCAAATGCATTTCTTTGAGGCTCTTCGCCTCGGGCCTTCAGCTCACTTCATGCCATCTCTTTCTATACTCTTTATCCTTTACCTTCATTTACGAAAAAAAGTGTGACGTAGTGAATTGATACGTTTGGGTAAGTGCGTCGCGAAGACATTATCTAAAGTTCGCGGAAATTCGCGTATTGGCCTATTCGTAACAAGTGAAGAATTAGTCCGCAACCGAAAATACAGGAAGTGCAAAATAGTGGCCAAGGCTGGAATCGTCAAGTCGTCACCAGAATGGACCTCGAGTATCGAAAGATGTACTGGACCAATGAACAATACAAATGGACAAGAGAAAGGCAGACGAGGATACTGGGGTAAGTGATCTTTTTCTTTTTTCCTTTTTTTTTCTACTCACCATAAACATTTATGTAAGCTGCCATGCTGAAAGCCATAAATTTGATATACTCAGCGGATATCGGAAGTATAGCATAGATCTGACTTATATTTGTGCGAGATTTTGGTATTTCTAATCAGTCCCCTTCGAAAGAGTATAGTCTCTAGGTATATCTCCACTGCGTTCCATCGTTTGTGCCTTCACAGTTTTTTTTAAATCCAAGATAAGTGCGTAGGAGGTACAGTGCCTAGACACCAGTTATTCGTGTTTGTCAAAAAAGCATTATTTAACAATAGTTCCAGGCGGATCTATGGTCCCAACATTGAGTACTAGAGAGAACGATCCCGAAACTGTTTGAAACACAACCTAAAAACAACACTGAATACCAGCTCCTTATGCATACCTGCACTGAAGCATACGGTGCGACTAGTATCATTAATAGGCATTTTACCGATGTTACGTAGCAGAACTATTGTTAAATCCTATCAGGAAATATAAAACTCCTCGACATCTATTGAAAATGCCTATTGTTGAAACATTTTGTTAGGCTTTTTCAATAGTTCTGGAGGAGTTCTATAGTTCCTGATAGGTTTTAACAATAGTTCTACTTAACATTACAAAGATTGAGGTGGTACACGGGTGCGAGCTCCAGCACCGCACTTTTTTAAAATCTCTTAAAAATGATTCAACAATAGGCTTTTTCAATAGTTCTTGAGGAGCTCTTTATTTCCTGAAAGGTTTAACAATAGTTCTACTTAACATTACAAAGATTGAGGTGGTACACGGGTGCGAGCTCCAGCACCGCACTTTTTTAAAATCTCTTAAAAATGATTCAACAATAGGCTTTTTCAATAGTTCTTGAGGAGCTCTTTATTTCCTGAAAGGTTTAACAATAGTTCTGCTACGTAACATCGGTAAAATACCTATTAAGGATACTAGTCGCAACATACGCTTCAGTACAGGTATGCATAAGGAGCTGGCTTTCAGTGTTGTTTTCAGATTGTTTCAAATAGTTCCAGGTTAGTTCTCTCTAGTACTCAATGTTAGGACCATAGTTCCGCTTGGAACTATTATTAAATAATGGTGGAAACTAGCACCACATCGCTGCACTTCTTAACGCAGGCAGTCATGAGGTGCTGGCTTTTGTCTTAGTAAATCTTATCGAGCTTACACTGTGCACTCGAGTTTAAGATTACAAAAAAAAATATTTAGACAATATCTGATGAGCGGACTCGTACCAAGGGTTGCTCTGGGAACCGGCGTTAAGTTGCGGAGAACCTCTGCCGGCCAGGCTACACGATCGTCATCACGTTTAGCTCGGCTTCGACAGGATATGGATTATCGACAGAGGTGATGATCACAAAATCCTACTCCCGGTTTCGCCGCTACGATTTAGCGCCATGTTTTTGGTATCGCCTAAAACCGTAGCGTTGTGCATCTCCCTGCTCGTCTCTGTCGTACATAGCAAGGCGGCTCTTCTCGGTTTAAGTGTGATGAGCGTCCTGATTCGCAGAAAAATGGGATTTAGTAAGCCGTCGTAATGGCGGCGCCCGTGATGTTTTGACAGGTCAGAAATGCATGATTTCTTTACGTACATTTTTCTCACAATTGAAACATTTTTCGCACTTCAAATTGAGAAGAGCCGCCAGCCGTATCGCATAACGAAGCGGGCTCATCAAAGATTTTGCTGAATCATTTATGAATGAAGAAGAAGAACGAAAAATACGTTAATGCAGAATGTCAGAATGGTCCATAGAAGAGGCTGGCAAAGATGAAATTACGATAGGGCCATTTTCAAAAAATTCCTTTACTTTTTTGAACTTGCAGACTATTTTTGATATTTTAAATTCTCAAGCAAAAAGCCCTAAGCCTAGCCCTTTCCGAGATAAAGCTTATTTTCATGTTATATTCGGAATTATTTTATCAGAGGAAGTTCACTGGATTTCTGAGAGATGGCGCCACTTATCATGCCTATGTGGGAGCATACAAGTAGTTTCACCACCACTGTTTCTTTAATGTTAATAGCATCAAAAGGCAAGCGATATGAAAACAGGTAATTTTTTAACAAGTCTTTTTTTTTTTTTTTTTTTTTTTTTTTTTTTTTTTTTTTTTTTTTTTTTTTTTTTTTTTTTTTTTTTTTTTAAATTAGTTTCCGGAGGATGTACACTGAACAATGCCGCGAGGTAAGTAGTAGGAATAAGAGTGTGTTACTTAACGCTACGCCTAGCCGTGGCGCTATTCTTTTTCGTCGCTTTTAAGCTTTTTCCCTCGTTTTTAAGGCTAGTTTACGATGCTACATTTCTTTTAGGTTGATCTCTATACCCAGGAGGTCCTGCCCTCTTATAGGCGAAAATTTGAACTAATGCGAATTCTTTAATAAGAATTGATCTATTGTATTTTCGAAAAGGCGTTTTCAAATTGCATCCGGATTTTTGTTGCAATCATTTTGTTTTAGGTTTGTTTGCTGTAGGAAAAGCGAAGTCAGGATACTGATAATATGGCAGAGATGGAATGGAAATTATGGTAGAGAAAATTGAGCGTAGTTGAAAAGGGGTGTCATAGCTTAAGGGCGGTGGAGTAGAAGAAGGATGCAGTTAGGACGGAGAAGAGTAAGAGAGAGATAGAACTCATTCGTAATCTTGGATATTCGCAGAGAGCAAAAGAATATCAGCGTGTGTAAGTGTTACAAGATAATTTATTCGACAAATGCAATAATGATACAGTATACGACATTACTTTCAAAAAATCCCTGTTCTTGAATTTTGAAAATACTCGAAATTGCATCTTCGGGAGGCTGCATCTCGGAAAGGGTTGGATTTACAAATTTTTCCTTGATATTTTTAAACATCTGCTTGTGCAGAAAGTCAAAATGGTCCATAGAAGAGGCTGGGACAGATCAAATTTGGATAGGGCCACATTCAAGGAATCCCTGTTCTTGAATTTTGATATTACTCAAATTTGCACCTTCGGTAGGCTGTATCTCGGAGAGGGTTGGATTTAGAGCTTTCTCCTGCATATTGTCAAAGATGTCTTTATGCAGAGAGTCTTTACGCTGTCCTTAGGTTGTCCTCTTACGCTGTCAGGAACTATAGAACACCTCGGGAACTATTGAAAAAGCTTATTGTTGAAACATTTTTAAGAAATTTGTTGCCATCTCCACACCTCAATTTCTTTAAAATACGATTTTTCGGCCTTAGAGTACTATTAGTACGTTGAAAGGTAAGTACTTTGTTATTCCTGTCATGGGCCAGCCAAGTGGTAGGAATCACCTACAGTTTCCTCACGAGACTGGTGGCGGCTTCCTTCTTGGCAATTCTGAAGGTAGCATTGGTTCGTCGCTGCCGTTGCTGGATTCTCGATATTCCCTCGGTAATGTTAATGGTGATAGTAGCCTAGTGCTAGAGGCATGAAAATAGTTATACGAAAGAAATAATAGTTAACCTAATATTATTAATACTCAATCTCAGACCCTGGAGTTCTTAAACCAGTATACTATTTCGCGATATTACCCGAAAGACGGTACAGTGTCGTATCTTTAAAACACGCTAGTCATTATTCGGAAAGTTTCTTACGTCAGATACTGTGTTTATATAAAAAGCTATAACACTGTTGTCTTTTAGTCGCGCATGAAGGATTTTTCTTTCGAGCTGTTTGTTTGATAGGATATATGTTTGGGGTCGGGGGGTGAAGGCCGATTTTAATTCAAAGTAGTCATTAGAACGCTGTGTCTGCAGGCTGCTCTTGCAGGTTTATTAGAATCATGAATGTGAATCGCAACGTTGAATAAGGCACGTAAGTATACGAATCCACACGTAAGCATGAGGTTGTAGGAGGGGCCAAGCTGGGAACAAGTGAAATTGTATCGCTTTACTGTTCCATATAGAAAGTAGCGAGTGTTAATGACTACCGACCGCACAACCAACCCGCGAACGACGTTCGTGCTCCTGCTATCCGAAAAGGAGAAATCCATTCGACTTTCAGAAGAATATTTTTGCCATGGCCTTTTGTTGAAACGGCAACACTGTCTTCCCCGTTGAAAGAATTATCGCCTGGCACGCATTTTTTCGTATAGCCAAGAAGAGACACTGCGTAGGAAAACTTACTAATTGAATCGTATGACCAATTATTCTATATTTCATGAATTCAAGTAATAAGAAATGCTATTAGTATTCGTATCTAATCGAGAATATATTGTCTAGGCGTTAAATGCAAATGCTTACTGCTTCCACGTAACGTTTCGCCTTACACATGTAGTATTTCCTCGAGTGCATAACGAGGAAATCGAAGGAAAACCTTCAGAATCGAAGGAAAGAAATGAAGAGCATAGTGGACGGTGAGACGGAGAACGGTGTTGGTAGCACCTTTTTCGCCGTTTTCAGAACAACATTACATGCCATTACATCCTACATGGTATAGGTTAACAAGAGATTTATAAGAGACAGAGAGAGTTCAGCCGGTGATGACGTCACCGGCTGAGTAGGTTGAGTAGGTTGAGTAGGTTTTGAGTAGGTTGCTGCCTCGCGAGTCTCCGGGTGGCCACGCCGATGAGCCTTGGTTGGAGGCCCTCTCACTCGGTCGACGTCTCCCGAAGAGAACAACACGTGCGCGCGCGTACCTTCGGAGATATATTCTTTGTAAAATCGTGAAAATACTCGAGCCTAGGAGCTAGTTACTTAACTGTCGTTAACTTTGTATTGGTTAAAAATCATCAGAAATCGAAGAAAATTGCGCTTAATACGAGCAGAGCGCTAAGTCCTCGAAATTTCTAATAATTATCGTCGTCTGTGCCTCGCGAGTGTCCTTCGAATTAACGTGTGATAATGATATCAAAGTTTGAAGTATAATATTATGATTGACCGAGATAAATAGGAGTAGCCGATAGAGGGAAAGTGTTTAAAATTGTGGTGAAGTGCGACGAACTGCAATCAAATGATCTCCTTCGTTTTCAGTAACGAGGATAACGGTCTTGGGCAGCTGGCACCGGGAAGTCAGGCGTAAGGGTTATCGCGATTGCCAGTGTAGTGTCCAGTGTGCCATGCGTAACGACTGCCATCAAGGAGCACTGCGAGACGCCTCATTTCTTTCAAATTATTTGCAAATCATTTGCAAAATTAAAAAACTGGAAAACCTGGAAAGCCCGGAAAGCCCGGAAAGCCTGCGGAACGTTCATTTCAGAAGTAATTGACTCTATCGACCGTAGGCACTGCCGACTGTAACGTTTCTCGAGAGGACCGCCACAATTACTTTCGGTGGAGTGTGACTTTTCTTCTGTTGTCATGTACGTATTTAAATACAGTAAATCTATATATTACGCAGGTCGATGTATACGAGAGTAACAATATGACAATTAATCACGAGAACGGAGTTTATATTCTCGAAACTCTACGTAACTCTCTCGGAGTTCGCTCTCCTCTCTCCATGCGTCAGAGATGACTTAAAAAATGGCCCCGCTTTTACCGTTTAAACTGTTGATCATACGGAATTGCAAAAGAACCTATTGAGATCGAGAGCCACGGATCGATGCTCGATTATTGGCACGGAACGAGGCCGCTCGTTAGATCGCAAGTTTTATTGAGATTTGAGAATTTAATGTACGTTGACCATTGTAACGGGAAAGTGAGAGAACCTAACTGTAACTGCAGCAACAGTATCGGATGACAGAAGGGCGGTGTATAACGTGTAGCGTGCCAAGGTGCTTCGCTGATTCTCTGTGCTCACTTGTATCGATCGACATACGGACATACACATAGTTCCACCGATTTCTCGAATCCAACTTTTGTCGGTGTTCTCGCGACGTAGCTCAAAAAATTCAATTTTTTCGCAATTTCTCATGGCTGAGCAATCGCCAATTTTTCATGAGATACGAACTACAGTGCAGTGCAGCTTATACTTTCGCCAGCGTTACCGCTCTCACTCCTTCGGCTCCGACTCGCAACGTCTAGAGAACGAGAAAAACAAGCATAGCGTGTGCGTACTAGATTCCGCCATCGCGCATTCGTTGACTGGCCCATTCTCTCAAACGTCTGCCGATCAGAGAACAAACAATCCCTATAGAGCTCCCTATATAGAATTGTATGAGCTCGATGGACCGCTTTTATTTATATATTGTATCTGCACACACGTATCCCTTTCCCTTCTCGTATTCGCGTCTTCGATTCCTGCACCTCCGAGTCGATACTAAATACGAGTATAAATGGAACGAATTCGAATTCGAACATTTGACAGAAGGTTTTCACCTCCGCCTAGCAGCTTGCCTCTTTCAATTACATCTGGCATGAAAGCGCCGATGAAACAGGTTTTTCCTACACGCTCGATCGCGACACAGCAGCTAAACTCGAGAAACTAAATCTGCGACATCGTAGTGAAAAAGGAAAAAAAAAAAAAACAAAAAAGAAAAGAAAAGAATTACTCAGCATTACGTCTTCAATGGCTAATAAATTAATTTATTTAAAAATACCTAAAACTTTGAATACCGTCGATTCCTATATACAATTATGCATACTACTGTTCCGCCTCTTACTATTAGAAATGCACAAGCCTCAATATAAGCGGTTACAATCAAGTAGACACATCTGCTTCATTACGTAATCTGAAACGAGTGGTAACCATTACGGTGTGTATCCCTCTCCCGTCACGAGAAAATCGTCTGTACCTTGCGCGTTCGTTCATACGGGTTATATTGGACTCGAGCGATTACAAGAGAAGCACCTGTAAGCACCACATTTTTAGCTCTTTTTCGAACTCCTATGCAGCCACACGTACGTCAGGCTACGGTAACTATTGTGAGAATATTCTCGTAGCAATCACGCAAGTTATATTTAGACACGAAACAGAAGAGAGACGAGTGAAACATCGAGATCGGCCAGATCATGAAACTGATGATTAGATAGGCGAAAGTTCGAAAATGCGATATTCGACACTGGATACCGCGCGCGTTGCCCTCCCGTTGACACACTTATGGAGCAGCGGTGGAGCAATGGTGCAGCGCGGTAACGTCGATCGCCAGGAGCGTGCCAGAGAGTTTCGAGCAGAGATGCTCAACCGCTCCAGTGACTTGCGGAATGCGCTCGCCGAATTGCGAGAACAGATGAGGACGAGCACCGAACGACCTGCTGAAATAGCCGATGTCGTGGTATCAGGATATCCCATGAGATAAGAGCAACTACGTAACGGACCAATGGTCCATCGCGATTCCCAATCGGCAATCCTCGCACTCTTGCGTCAGATTTTTACGTCGGGTAACGCTAACGCACAGGCCGGAAATTCGGCTAACGCTCGCTTCGCTCTTTTTCCGTTCCTTCCATCTTACGAGTCTTACGACTTGTGCATCCGCTGAGAATTGCAAATTGTCGCCGAGTCTGCGAGCTGTGCGGCCTTACGCTCTCTCCTCTATCCACAATTCCTCTCTTATACTTACCAGTAACCGCAATCGAAAACTTTGCTAAATCATCTCTTTGCGGATAACGCACTGTACGGACGATCTATACTATTCTATTTCCAATTCACGAAACCCATGTACGCCGTAACCCACTAAGAATGGCCTATCGATGAAAGGTCTGCCCCCAGAGATACAAACTGAAGGAAAAATACATCTTTCACTTGTTCAGTTTTTCACTCTTTGGAGTGATTCACCTTCTCTTTTAATTTTTTAACTTCTTCAATGACACAAATAAAACCAGCGGCCTTTCGTCCATTCTTCTTCATTATTTTTTCGTGTCTCGGCTATGAATTTTTTCATAAAACATTCTTAACCATAGGCGCAGTCCAATCGCAGTCCGACGCCACTGTCGCTCAGGCGGCTATCTTAGTCTTCGTCTCATGCGTTAGAAGGACTTTCCTAAAAAGCCTTGCGCTATGTTGGAACAACCAATTTAATCGTGATATTGCCACGCGACCTGCGCAGGATTATTCAATCGGCATGGCAACCTTTCAAAATGGCGAACGATTACATGAAACGTAGAGGGAGCTACGTCACGTAACTCGAATACATATATGTATATCGAAGATGTACTCTCTCTCTCTCTCTCTCTCTCTCTCTCTCTCTCTCTCTCTCTCTGGATGAATGAGCATGTTACGCCTTATTACCGCCAGTTAAATTGGCTAAAAATTAGGCAAAGGCGACTTTTTCTACTCGGGAACCTTATTTACAAAGTATTACAAAGCTGGTAGTCCAACGTACCTTAGATCTGCACTTGTCACTTCACCTCTTACGCACGTGTTTCGCGAAACCCGACGTAGGGACGATGACCTTATCGTAGCCATCCATCGCACTGAATGTTATAGACATATGCTATTCACGTTAGTGGAGCTCTCTTCTGGAACTCCTTGCCAACCACTGTCAGAGATGCTCCCTCTAAATCCACTTTTCGCGCACCACTGCGTGACTATTTAATTGTGGATCAATAACACGGACACACTCAGTACAACTAAAATTAAGTCATGTAGTAATACCTTACTCTAACTAGTAATAAGTTTATGGTATTATTTGTTTACCTTAGTCTTTTCGTTGTGTTCATTACTGTCACCTACTCAGTAGGGTGTATATATATATATATATGTATATAGTATTGTGCATACATTTACCGAATGTAGGGTACACTAATTATAGCTCTTTCTTTTGTCTACTAGTGCTATTCACTAATTACATATTTTTGCTTATATATTACTTAATGTGGAGATTTATGTTATAGTCTGTTGCTATAATTGAGTTTGACTCATATTATACCTATTATATTCTCTAAATTGTTACTATATGATGTTATGGTCTACGGGATTTAAGCCCTGATCAAATAAATTGAATTCTCTCTCTCTCTCTCTCACACACACACACACACACGCGCGCGCGCGCGCGCCCTCGCGCACGCACGCACGCACACACACACACACACACGTTAACACAACTCAACACGTAGTCCTTTCATAAAAGAAAACGTTAAATATTCAACAGCAATGCACAACGTGTTCTACTATATATATGTTAAGGGGACCAAGAATCTCAAACGGATACCTTTTGGGTGGCCAGTCATGAAAATCATTTAAGTAGGAACAACTTGACAGATTTGCTGTATGGCTACGCGCAGTTGGCAATGCCATCTGCGAAGATAAAAATAACGTTTGCATTATATTGACGATGTTTCGTTTATTCAAAATTTGTGGAAAAGGCGCAACTACAATATACTCCTATAAGTCTTCTCTGACCTTGGAACCTTCAGATCCGCGACTTCTCATTATGTTTTTGTGCATCGAGGATAAAAATCATGCCAAGTATATTGTTGCCGCGGTAGAATGTTTTATCGACTGCACATAGAGACACATGGTGTTCAGCTAGTCGGTACCTGTTGCACATTTTGTAACTGAAAATTTTAAATGTCCCTTCCCACTTCGCAATACCCGTTCAAGAGAATCTCGACCGAGATCAGTTCTGAGGTTCAAAATCAAATGAACGCGCTGACTTCGGGTGAACGTATAATGTATATGTACAAGAGGTATCCGTAGATATGATTCTCCATATTCACAGATCCAGGAAAGCCATCTATATCTATACCAGAATGGACAGTGTTTCCATAAGTTACGGGCACAACAGTTCGCTCAAAGAATTTACCATAGCCCCACTCAAGAAGGACTTTGTGTTTTCAATTACTCCTTTTATTATTGAGACACACTATGTCCTTCCCTTTCGATTCTCTCCTCGTTTCCTGAATCGTCAACTGAGCTCTCCTCTGTCTCCCTCCAGTCATCAACGACGTCGTCGAGCATACACGCTACCGTCTGTCTGCATTGCCTTCAAAGGCACAATATACGAGTATGAGAAATAAGAACAGCAGAAAAAGTCAAAATTTCATTAATTTATTTATTTTTTCACAATTCCCTACAAAAGACCTTTGTCCTTAGGCTATTCGAAGATGCGAACAATTATCTGCGATGAAGGTATGTTCTGATGACCGTGCAACGACTGCAATTAGCTACAAAACTGTACCTACTTCTATATACAATAGATAACTCGTGTGCTTATACCCATGCGCGTGATAACTTCGGCAGCAGTTATTCCTTTGTAATATTCGATCATTTTGCAGTGACGATATCTCAGGCTCTTAAAAGCATTGATAACACATCAACTGCAAAGATACATACTTAGCGCCAAGTGCGCGCTAGACGAAGGTAACAGTACTCGCGGAGTGCCGACGACCGGTCTTCACGCTCTTCACGTTTCCTTTGAAAACGAGGCGCGGCTCGGCCGGGCCCGGCGAAGGGAGGCGAACCATGTCAGCCTACATAGCTACGGCCTCTCTCCTCGCAGCGCTCACCGACCCAATATGATTCCCTCCCGCCAGCGCGTAGTGCCAGACACGACCGTCTCATCTCCTAAGTCGCAGGTGATGCTCTCGTACCTTCTATCCGCGAATGGGTCCTACGAAAATTCTTTACTTCGCGTCGACAAACGCGCGTGCCCCTATACATATAGACCTCTGACATTACGGTGAATTCTTAGTTCGGCAGGTTAACCAATCTGCGAGCGAGTCATAACAAATTATAACTACGGTTGGCATCTTCGTATACAAAACGAGTTTCGTATGGAATACGCAAAATACGCTTCAAAGACTATGGCCCCGGCTCACGAATTTTTCATTTAGTCCACTCATAATAATACAGCATGCAACAAGTTGCTGCTTAGGGGAAATTTACTCCCTGAGAAAGGAACTCAAGACCCGTTCCTAACTTCCTATATTAGAGTTCTTATATTATCAACGGATAAGAAGCATGCATGCCCGATATCCACGTCTTCAAAATATCGCTATACATACGTCTGCTGCGATCGTCGAAGTATCTTACAAAAGTATTGCCGATCGGCCCTCAATTTACATAATCTAATTTCGTACTAATTGCACAGTAGCGAGTGTAGTCAGATTATGCAATGCCATAAAGCTCTTTTCTATCGCATTTGTATCGAAGCGCTCATTCCCTACTCGTCCATTTGTTACAGTGTATAAGTCGATGTTACGAGAGGGGCTGGACAATGAAGATACCACGTGAATATGGCATAAATAGATAACGAAGAGGGCTAATACGCGTAGAAGAGACTAAAGTATCCTCAACGCATAAGGGGGATATTATAATTTTCAAATGCGCAAGGGCTCACGGCAATGACTATGAACACCGTGGCCCTCAGCCTCGGCGAAACAAGCTGCCATCAGCCAACAGCTGTCCTCGCTCCGAAAAATAATCATCGCCAACAGAATCATCGGCCAAAGGACAGCAATTGGAATATGTCATCGAGCATGCCCTCGCAATCGCACTCGCTCTCGCCCTTGCCCTCGACCTCGACCTCACCCTCATCATTAGCTTCACAGCTGACCGCGACAACGTCGTCCGCAGCGTTCACCACCTTCCTCGATAACGTAAGTCTCCTTGGGTACCACGATCGACACCAACTTTTCTTCCAGCAACTTTACGTCCCTGGGAATCAGCGAACTGTGATTTCCCGAGAAAGTAACCGCACTGTGCGCTCCATTCCTCCCGCCCTCGCCGCCCTCGCCGCCCTCTCAAGCTTCTTCTTACGGCTCCCCAATACCTTGCCTCGTCCTTAATTTGTCTTAACTTAACTTACTCTGTTATACCTTACCCTACCCAACCTTACCTGACCGTACCTTACATCCTCTTCTTTTCCTTCTCCCCGACTCTAAAGAAATCGGCGGGATCACCTGAAACTGGTAATAATATTTATAAATTTATACTTCTTATAGGGATCTAAAATCAATAAGGACAAAAACGAATAACATTTGTTCCTACCAAATGTACAAAGACGTTAGACTTTACATGAAAATCGATAATTGCGAGCACGCGAGTCCTCGTTGGGCCGATTAAAATTTACGCTTTCACATCGAATCATAGATCACATTGCTAACCTAACCTAACCTTAAGTATCACCAATTTTATTCATTATCCGAATAGAGATATAAATTAAGAGAATAAAAAAAAAATAAAAAAAGACAAAAGAGTGACAGCGTCATTCTATTTTCGTGTTGTGAAACGATTTAATGAAGAATACCACGAGGAAATTAATGCCTCCAGTTCTTTATCTTCAGTTTTATAGCGTACACACCCCATATACGTGACATATACCCCATTTCTATTTTGAATTCTTGGCTATTACCTGTTTACCTGATCGAAGATTTTTTTTTTTTTTTTTTTTTTTTTTTTTTTTAAATAGTATTTGCCAAACGCTCGTGAGATTGTTCGCCCAAATGATCCAATTGAAGAGACTCGTGAGAATTCTCATGCTTACAGAAAACCGAGAGTACAAGCAAAGGAAGAAAGTCTTGGAGCGTACGATTGGGACTCAGTAGGCAGACTCAAGGCTCACAGCATCGACGAAAAGTTGCTGATCATCGTACAGGAGGTGTCGACGGTTGTGGAAACGTCGAAAGTGCCGGAAGTTGCAGAAATAGCGGTGGCAGGGTCGCTTCTGAGACAGCCGGTTGGGGCACCGTTAGCGGCGCTAGCGCCCTATCCCAACAAATGATCTACGGAGCTGAGCCGTGGCTCTACGGAACGATGCGTTCAAGGAGGAGTCAACCGTCCACGGTGCCCCGGGGTTTCTTGACTTCAGCGCCACCGCCGCAATCGGCAGTGCCACTGCCACTGTCACTGCCGTTTACACCGGCACCGACACTAACGCCAACGCCAACGCCAACGTCAACGCCAACACTGGCTCCAGCTCCTGGAACCGCTATTCTCATCGTCTGTTCCTGTCCCGAGTTCCTCAGTGGTACAACAAGAAAGCTCGGTAATTGTCGTAAATGCGGAGGCCACCGACTCGCTGGGTTTCCGCCTCTCCGCGGTCCAGGCTTCGGTGGAACTTGCCGTCCGACAATCATCTCCTCGCGCTCTCGTCCAAGTTTGGCAGGTGCGCGCGCACATACTGATCCCTTACTGATAATTTATTGGCCGTCACGTCATCTTGTAAACACGCCCATATGTATATCTTAATGTGTACAGGTATCCTCAAGTCTTCGGCGGATGACCCCTATGACCTCATGCGAAGGAACCGTCTGGTGGACCCGCGAGCGAATCGAGCGCACAGCATTTCTCCACCTCGTCAGGTTATTTCAAGCAATTCCCGAAGTCATAGTGTTTCCCGCACTTCAAAAGATCAGAACAGAGGATCGCTGGCGCTAATGATGACGACTACCGCATCAGGGACGACACCGATGTTACCGTTAATGTCGAGGGACAGAGGCAGAATAACATTGTTGAACAGCCAAGATACGTCTGTATCGTTGAATTCAAGATCCGAGTGGTTCGATATGGGCGATCAATTTGAATACGAAGTCGAAGAGAAATTGCAATCTCAATACGACGTGACGTCAGATACTACAGATTGGCATAACAGTGTAGCGGGTCATAATTTGGAAAAGGTTTCGTTTGGTAGACGTTCACGCTTCGATGAGCTATATACCGAGGAACGAACAGACTGGATTCTCGAAAGTTCCCCTTCTGCAAAAATTGGTGATCACAATCAGCCAAATGCCTTCTCATTTGCTTCTGCGACGGTTGCTCCGATTATGTCCGACTCACGAAGGAGCATACTTCAGTGCGACGTTAATCCCTATAAACTTCTAAAGAGACAGCAACACCGTCATCGACAACGTATTCCCACTCGTGCAAGATACGCTGAGGCTTGCGTTATTCGCGATATTCGCGACATTCGCGCTAAAAAGAATGCTGTCCACGGTGTTACCGATACCAAAGATACGAATGGTCAGGACGGCAATGACGGCGGAAACGATAACAACCCCGACGGTGACGATGACGATGACGATGACGACGACGACGATGACGACGACGATGACGACGACGACAGTGACGACGACGACGACGGCGGCGACGACGATGACGACGATGATGATAATAAAGATTACATCGATGATGACGATAATCTTTCCGATAATGCTCTTCAATGCGATGATCATCTGGCAACGTTATTCGACTCGTCGAAAGTCAAATCTATCGAAAGATTGCCGACTAAGAGAAGTGCCGTAGCTGCGATAGGTGGTCAAAGAATAAGAATCTTTAACGAATCACAAGAAGGTTTCGATAACAACAATAACAGTGACGAAATGATCGATAATAACGACAACACTGACGACGATGATATTGCCAGACACGAGAACATTTATACGGAGCACTGCTTTGCGGATGAGAATTCAATCCGTAACAACTTGTCGTTCGCTAGAATACCAATTCCGAAGGTGTCGCCAAAACGGCCACCCAGGCGACACAAGTCTTCGAGAAATCTGCCGCCCAGAGGCATACTCAGGAAAAAAAATCGAACCATTCGTCATAACGATAGCAACGATCGTGATGAGAAAAAAATTAAGAATGTCTTATTTAAAGTGAACAACATGATTCTTGCACCAGAGAAGCTTTCGTCGGGCACACTATCAAGGTGTGTCACAGACACGACAAGCACTGGTGCGTCTACAGGTGCAGCTACAAGTACAACCGCGACAGCGGCTTCGCGGAGCAATGTCAAACCTAAAACCAGTAAAAATAGAGGTAACAGTCAGGTAAGACGACAACTTGAAAAATTCTCCCTTTCGGATAGACCCAGATTGATAAGCATTCCAAATATCAAGGAGTCCAAGTGTCTACAGTATAGAAAAGATGAAAGGACGACCGCCGTGCAAACCGAATTAAAATCGACCGTTAAGCTTCTTGAGAAAGAGACAAGTACGAGAGCCGCGAGATCAAAGAATGAGAAAGAAATTGTTGCGCTAAGAGCGGAGGACGATACTGAGCTCGAGATCGAAATCGAGGAACTGGAGAATTCAGCGGTCGGGCCAAGAGTTGCCGCGGACGAGCTGCAGGATCTCATTCGACAGTCAGAAGGTACGTTATATTACCTAATACATGTTACATTAAAATTACTATTTTTATTAATGCTCGATAGCATGTCTTAGGCCGCGTTTCCACAGGCAAGAAAACTTGTGCGAGAAATGTCTGACAGACTGGCGGATAGCAGCTAGCCCATATAAACTGTACTGCAAACGCGATCGCGACAGTTTTTGAGCAACTCTTGCTTGTGGGACTGCCGGGACGCAGATTGCAAGAATAGAATAAAGAAAAACGCGGTATTCACTAGCGTTGCGAAGGATTTTTTAATACATCTTGAAAATCCACAGCAGCCATGCGAATGAAATTAAAATATTGTTGAGAATCTTCTATTTGCAGTTCCGTGAACAAATTATCGAAACTACCGTATTCGGATCGCCTTAATTGTCGAACCCATTGTCGAACCCATACAGATCTTTTCTTTTTCTTATTCTTATTCGTCAGTAACATTATAATCGCAGCTGTTACACGCTCACGTCTACGTGGAATGATTTCATTGAGTAACTGAAATGCGATGACTCTTGCAACACCTGGAACTGTCCTATGTACCTATACAGTACTGCGACAACTAGCGACAGTATTGTCTGACAGTCTCTCGCACGACAATTATTTCTGGCAATATTACGGAAATTTACATGCTAGTGTAAACGGTATTGCAAGTAACTTTTATAAGACTTCCTAGAGTTCTCTCGCCTGTGGAAACCTGCCCTTAGAATTTCCGAAGTCGTACAAAAAAGACACACAAAAGTGTCAATATCGCCATTGTGAAGAAACAAACAATTCCCATCGAGCCCGTTCTTTGACACTTTTTCGCGATCTGCCTCTAACCTAACGAAACTAGAAGACAAAAATTAATAACCTCACACAATGTATTGAATATTGAAGTTTCAATATTGATTTGAGACTCTCATATCCTATAGAAAGTGTGCCACAATTTCAAAACGTCGCGAAATCAAATCGTAACCTTCAACATTCTAAACGAAACCGCACACATTCACAAATCCTACAATAATCAAACTTTATGTCTGATAATTCCAGAAAAGAAATAGATATCGCAAACTAGCAGCAGTACGCAAGCTGCATAAGATGGTGTTTGTTAAGACTATATCTTACGCAGCGGGTTGAGGGTGCAAACTGACAGTATCTTTACGTTAACCATTAACGATATTCACCCATTTTTTTTTTTTTTTTTTTTTTTTTTTTTTTTTTTTTTTTTCTATATATATGTATAACCTACCTTGCAAGTAACAGTACAGTCGGGCTTATGCTGAGCAATGGGTCGCGGACAAATGCACCGTTAACTCTGGTGAAAGATATTTGGATCCTTGAACTTTTAAAACCAGCTCGCATGGATCTCACTCAAGGATAACAAGTTCCATGATGCGCTGACATATACTGGACTTTAAAAGTCGCTAGCAAAATGTTCTCAGATATAGAGGTCTACGCGTCACTGTTAACCCGGTAATGGTCAGGCGATTATATTCTCCATTCGAAAAGCATTGAATTGTGGAAGATCGGACACCCCGCGCTCCGACTTCCGGTTCAATATTATACATACACTGACGGACTCCTTACGGACCCCGTATCGGAACGCTAGATCGCTAGATAATTGCATATCGCCTGTCCGTCCAGTAGTTCGTACCAAGTACAATATTTCTCGATTCTCCGGACTGCCCAATAACAGGACGCGAGATCGAATACAAGGCGCAATGGTGTATTGGGTGTGTGTATAAAGCGTGTCGTAATGTTGACGGGAGTAAATGTAATATCATGATAAACGGGTCCGCCTAGAAGCGAGGACGTTGCGTGAGAGATCGGCGGAGAAAGGAGAGGGGTTCGCGATTTATCTCATGATATGACCCTGAACCATATTCTCTGGCAACAGGGTACCGCTGCAACGTTCAATCGGCTGCCAGACGGCTGCATGACAAATAACTTAGGAAAAGCTTAAGCAGTGAGCCTGAAACTACCGAACTCGAAGTAGAATTAAACAATAGAGCTTGAAACTAATTTAAACAAAGAATAGAGAAGCGAGACGGATGGGAAAACTTTTTTCGCGTTATTACGATACGGGCTTACCGAATAGATCTTTCGAAAGCAAATACATCACGTTCGACTCCGTCTCTTATTGTTAGTTCAGACCACCTCCGTTGCTCATTGCTTTCGTATTAATAACTTGGCATTAACTTACTCGTCGCTATCTGCATTTTACGTCGTTTTTAGAGTGCATTGGCAGAGCTCGGTCATTGAAACGGAGCGAAAGCGAACGCTCGATTACAAAACCGGCGTTTACAGCAGGCAAGGTGCTCTTCTCCGATACGATGCGACTCAAATTCTACAAACGGATGAACGACCTATCGACGACCGAGGCACCTCCGTCAAGTTCCCTGGCAAAACCATTCGTCGTCAGAAGCATCGCGGAAAAGGAAGAATTGCCGAGGCGCGTGTCGACTTTTCAAGAATATTCGACGACAGGTGTAATAAAGAAAGGAAGCGCACCTCGATCTCCAATAAAAGTCGAGTCAGTCGAGAAATTTCAAAAAATAAAATCCTACGAGCAGTTACCGCGACCGGCGTCGCAATATTGCTCCGGTGCGCTGGGATTAGCTGATTTGCTCGATGATTCGGTGAAAACAGTCTTTGATGACGAGAGAGTGTCATCGAATTTCTCAAGAAATTCGAGAAAGAGCAGGCCTTCGGTGACACCTGACATACCGGAATCTGAGAATATCTGCAAAATTGAAGTCAGTCCGTTGCCATCGACATCCTCATCGCCATCTACGTTGCAGCAGCCGCTCATTCATCGACTGCAAGTGGGCGCTCACTTGTCGCCGACGTCCTACTCGCGACAGACCTCTTCCGTTATGATAAACCGAGAGGAGTGCGAACACCTAGAAGGAAAGGAGAAACTGTGCCCGCGATATCAGCAGCAGCAGCAGCAGCAGCATTCTTCTCTGGAGAATAAGGTGACAATAAGCGTTGGCGGCGAAGATAGCCTTAGCAATTCCACGGTAATTTCCGTAAACTCGAGTGACAACGCGGAAATAGCGTCAAAAGTACAGAACACCGTACCAGAAAATCGTACACTGGTAATTTTTGACGAAAACGGCTCCAACATCGTTGTCGAGCCCTTCTCAAAAGAACTTGACGCTACCAAAAAATGTCTGGATAGAAATGCCGCGACTTCCTCGCAAAGAAGGAAGATCCCTACACCAGCACCAGTACCAGCAGCACCAGCAGCAGCAGCAGCAGCAGCACCAAAAGAACCAAGACCAGAAAGAAGCGCCGCCGATCGGTTGATGAAGGAAGCAACGATCTCAATACTTCTTGAGAACTCCCTTAAGAAAGCTAAGGAAAAGGGCCAAGTCCTCGACGAAAGTAGCGGAGAGGCAATCTTGAAGGTTCTTAAAGAAACTCTTCTAAAATCAAGCAGCCTTCAATCCTCCGCGTCTGCCACTGACCTGCTCTTAAATTCTGATATTACTTTCATCAATGCTCACAATGAAAATCCCTATGAAGATATCAAAGAACCGAAGGAACCGATCTACGAGGAGATTCCAGAGATCCTGTCACCCTCCCAATCGTCATCCCTATCCCCGTTCCCTTCGCCATCGCCATCGCCATCTTCGTCCTCGTCCTCGTCATCTTCGACCACATCGTCGCCGTCGCCGTCGTCATCGCCATCGCCGTCTTTCGCGCTGCCACCACCTCTGCCCCTTAATCCTCCACGATGCAAGACGGCAACAGCAGCCTATCTAAAGCTGACAAGTAACATCTACTCTCAACCCGACGACGTCGTTAATACTAAGTCTAGCAGTATAAACGAATGCAGGAGTAGCCAAAAGAAATTGCACGTTTCTCCTTCGTTTCTCCATTTCCGCCATCCAGATGCATTCGCGGAACTCTTGCCTAATTTTAAGGAGCCAATCAATGAATCCGCCACCTCAAATAATATCCCCGGTACGACAAGCGCAACTAGCAAACGGGAAGCTACGCTCGCGATAAATGCGCCTACCGAAGCACCCTACTCCGAATCACCGTCTTACTTTTTTTTCTTATCGAAAGAGCCTGCTTCCGAGGACAATTTAAATATTCTCAATTTTCTCGTTGATTCGGAAAATCGTCATTCCACTCGGAAAGTTGGAAAGTCCCGCTCGGAGGACAGAGGAAACAATGAGAACAAGGATCAGAGGAAAATTGATAATGGGAACGAAAACGATTGCAAGCGTGAATACGATAATATTCGTGCGCACAATCAGCCAGAGCAGAATGAGAAGGAAGGAATAGAAGAGATACAGAGGAGACAAGACAACTTAGGTAATCAGGAGGACCGAACCGAGGAAGTCTCTGTGGAAGTGGAAGTGGAAGCGGAAGAACTTGACGAGGTCGAAGATGGAGAACTCGAAGCACTGTACGAACAAAAGGAGACCAGCCTCGGAGATTTGAGCTCGAAAAGTTCACAGATATCCAATAATTCGGATAGCAGCAGCGAAGATTGCCACTTGATGCTACTGAATTCAGCGAAAGAATTGAAGGTAATATCTATAATCTATACGTACAAAATACTTTTAAGACACACGGGGTATAGGGGCTGGGAATAAAATTGGTTGGTAAATAGTTGAAGGAGCGCAGTATGAAGCTATGAATTAAGTAGCGAATTATTGATAAAGGCAAGTGCGTATCCCTTTGATTTGTCAGACGACGACGGTGGAGATCGAGCGAACTGACAGTGGCGTCGGTTCCGAAAGTAGCCAGGCGAGTAGCGGCGGTGGTGTCCTCAGACGTCGGAGGCTAGGTGAGAGCCCACAGGGTGACCTTCTTGTTCGCCACGTTCCACTACTCAGCTCCGCCGACGCGAAGCTCTGCGAGGATTGCGAGCAACGACTCGAACCATTCGTCATGGACAGGTAGGCCAGCGTCTCGATGCGACAACTGGGCCGCTCGATTGCAATTACCGATTGTATTACCTGCACATTTTATGATTTCCGATTTTACCAAAGAGTTACCAATTTAAACCTAATAAAACATTCGGTCGCAACGAGTCCGACTAGGATAAGCTTACTTATCTGCCGTCGGTATATTCGATTCATTACAAATTTTCAGTGGTGTCGCCTACACGCCTTTTGTCTGCCGTAAGTGTTTGAAAAAGAGAGCCGAACGAAAGGAAATTATCACGGAGATCGTCGAGACCGAACAAAAATACGGCAGAGATCTACAAATCATCCTCGATGAGTTCTACAAGCCGATGTCACGTGCTGGACTTCTCACGCAAGATCAGCTGTCCGCGATCTTTCTTAACGTCGAGGAGCTTCGCGAGCACAGTCTGCATCTCGCAAAAAAGCTCAAGGATGCCGTTATAATCAGTCAGGTATCTAGCAAAAAAACATATGGCATCCTACCGATTGAACATTACCCACATTCTCTTCCGAGAAAGGTTGAAGGTTGATCGGGCATGAATAAGCGTATAGCACAAGGACAGTATGTATTTAGTCGATTGGCAAGTGCGAACGAGAGAACGAACGTGCGGACGTGCGGACGTGCGAACGTGGAAGCTCAGTGAAAATAATAAGAAGTATCTTCTTCTATTGTTGATGCAGGAATTGGACGACGATGACCTGATGATGGTGGACGTGGGAAGGATCTTTCTCGAGTCGGAAAGAATGTTACACGCCTTTGAAAACTATTGCACGCGACAAGCAGGCGCGAGTCTACTTTTGCAAAATCTTGAGAAAGAAAAAGAACTTCTAAGGATATTTTTGAAAGTCTCGCAGATGGAAAATACTGTCCTCCGTCGGATGAACCTCAATTCTTTCCTCATGGTAACCCAGTAAATACTGCGATAATCCGTGCAAGCGTGAAATCTTGGAATGTTCCTTAGGTACCGGTGCAACGTGTCACCAAATATCCTTTGCTACTGGCGCGTCTCCTAAAAGCGACACCGTCCCTGAGGACAGACGTCCAAGAAGCAAAAAATAAATTGAAGCAAGCCCAAACGAACATCGAAATGCATCTGGAGCATATAAATGCCGTGAGTAGAGAAGAAATTATAAAACTCATACGTATCCAAAGTGCCGGATTTACGGTTTTATCGAAACTGTAATCAATCAGTAATCAATCGCAAGAATCATCAGTAGCACAAAGTCCTTCCATCTTTTCATGATTCACCTCGATAGGAAGCCAAAGATGTCACCTCGACGAAACTTTGGCGAAGAATCTCCATCGTACAGAACGGTCGTAGGTTCGCAGGCGAGCAAGACATGGTCAACATTAAACTGCGAAAGGTAGCCCATCACACGCCAAACAGTGGCCAATAGCTTTGTAGCTTTGCAAATCGTATAATGTGTTATTCCAAAGACTTTGGTCGATATTCAACAGATAGCTGTTCAAGTACTCGAGTGGGCCCACGAGGAAGCTAGATTCGTCTTGGAAGGTCGTCTTCTGGTTGCTCAACCAACGGACAACAACTGGAGACGCGGTCGAACCGTTAAACTTTCCCCGGTCACAGCGATGCTCGTCACCAACGGACAGGTTAGCTATCCTTATTTCTCTTGCCACCTCCCACTTTCTCTCTCTCTCTCTATCTATCTATCTATCTATCTATCTTACTCACTCTATTTATTTATTTCTCTTAATCCCTCCTCTATATTCATTCGTTCGTTCGGTCGTTCCTCCCTGGACCCATCCATGAATCCGTCTAACACTGCCCCCCCCCCTCTCTCTCTCTCTCTCTTTCTCTGTCTGTCTGCCTGTGCCTCTTCTACATCCTCCCTCGACAAGCAGCCAACAAACGCAGAAAGATTTCTCGAGGTGAACAACGACGACGAGGACGACGACGACGACGATGACGACGACGACGACTCCCTCTTCCCGCCGCGGACTGGGATCAAGGAAGCAACATTGCTGCTCATCAAGGAAAAAGTCGGCCGTTACTCGTTACTCAGGGTGAGTAGACTTTAAGACATGGAATACCGTAGGTATCCTTTTTTCTCGAATATCCATTACCACATTTCCTTGAAGTATCTGGGAATCTTTAACGACTTCGATTCCTTTGCCTTTGCCTTCGTAGGAGCCGCTGTACCTCGACAAATGTATTGTATGCTGCGAAACGAGCTTTGAGGATTACTTCGAACTCCAAGAACTTTTCTCCAAAGAAACTCTTATATTCAAGGTGCGAAAGACCAAAAAATACATTAACCCAATTCCTACCAGGATGTGACTATGTATTACGTTTGGAGTTTAACCCTTTGACTGCGAAAGGCCTATATACATATGTATACGCCCTCACAAGTCTACCCATCGCAGGGACTGACATGTGAATATCGCGCCGTCAGTATTGATGATTCGCTCCGAGAGTGTGCCGCAGTCAAAAGGTTAAGTAACTTTAGTTTCTTTAATTACATTTGTACAGTACTAACATACTGTGTACTTTATTAGTCGTTATTTCTAGTGTAACAATAAAAAAAATTATGATTTCTATACAATGGGTTTGACTATAATCATATGAAATGTTAAAGTCACATCGTGGTAGTCCATGTCAGTCACGGAACCAAGAGCCGCCCACTCGTTACTGCGCAGTATTTCTTCGTACTATCTACACTCCCAGTACTTAAAATTATTCTTATTCTTGATTCTAGGCCGAAGATGGAGCTAGAACGAAAAGGTGGTGTAGAACCTTGCAGATCCACGCGCAATCGCTCGGTGCTTGGCGTCGGCGCCGTGGTGCCTTGCCCAACATCATGATCTGTGGCGTTACTAGAACTTAACTGCATTCTTATTTCATTTAAAGAAGGATGCAGAAAATAGAGATCGATAAATGTGTATATAGGTGAATGGGGAAATAAGTACAACGAAAGTACAGACGCCGGACGAACACACACTGTTAGGCGGATGATGAATGAAAGTAAAATTTGAAGACAAAAAAATACCTATCGCTCCATACACGATAATATGACTTGACTTATGTATAGTAGCAATAGAAAGAGACCCCATTCACGTTCATTTTCTTATAATTTATTCTATTCTTCGTTTATCTCGCCTCTCGTCAATGACGCCGCCAAGAAACGTCGACAGACCCTCAGAGCTTTCCATGTGAGATTACAGTGCGTTGCAGAGACTTTTGTCTCCTACGACACTGTCAAATAATAAACATACAAATACGTATTTTTGTTTAATAATTATCAACGTTAATACGTAGAAGCACACGAAATACGAAGAGATAAGTGCCGTCTACCCAGTGGGGATAGGGGTCGGGGAGAAGGTGTTAATAGTGATAGATCATAATTTCCAATCCACTTCATTCTTTTTGTTGCCTTTCGAAGATTGAGAAACTGTGCTTTCAAACGATAGTTTGAAAATGTTTACTTATACTGAAATCTAATAGAGACCCCCGAGTTCTTTTCGGCAGTTGTATTTTGCAAAAACTTCAACAATCCAACAACTTGCCAGTGAACATGTCACCACTTGTAACCGTCCTACTATGATACCTTTATTAAACTGAAACCGCGCAAAGGCTAATCAGCTTAAAACCCAACCACTTTATGCTATTTTGTTCTGCGGATAAATATTTTTGTGCTCCTATATGTAAGGAATACACCAAAAATGAATGCGGGTTCCAACTTAATGGAGGTAACTAGAACAATATACTACTTATAGTCATTTTACCACTACCAGTATTCCTATCTCTATTTTAATCCTTTTATTCTATCTATTTTAATGTACAACTATGAATATTGTTACTATCATTACCTGTACGGCACTAACCTACGACTATTACTATTACTACTGCCAGCAATGTCCATCATCGGGACAATAGATGGTACTATCTAACCCATTGATAGTCACGTAGCGTGCACGCTGTAATATGTTGTTACTTCAAAGTTGAACATCGATCTGTACATTAATACATAACGCGTCTACGGTGTACATACTTGCATCGAAAGAGGATAAATTCCTTATATTATCTAAATTAGGATGTTAACTCCAAAAGTGAAACGCTGAACCTGTTTGTCTTTATATTTTTAAGTGCTTCAGAGTTCTCTAAAGCAATATACTACATTTTCAACATGCGACGTTTATGCAAAGGTAATCAATGGCATTGATCTATTTATTCTTTACCGGAGACGTAATTGCTTAACCCCCCTAAAGTCTTAATGAGTGGACACATAATATAGCCTTTCAGAGCACTTAAAATTACAAGACAACACAATATTTGAAACACATGCACAGTCCACGCTTAGATTGTCAACGACGAGTCTTCATTTGAAGATCCGTAATAGAGGGCTACATCGGTGAAATATAAAAAACTTTATCGAGTTTCATCAAATGTACTATTATAACTTTTACGAAATCACAAAGAAATATCGTTTTATTAAACAGAATCTTTAGGTTCGTCGATCAATCCAGGAGCTACAAAAACTTTTTCACGCATCCGAAAATTCCCGTACGCGTAAATTTAGTGTTTGATTTTGCGGTAAAACGTTATGGCTGGCTCGGTAATTGTATCCTTCAAGTTCAGGGTGTTTCTCGCAGAGGTATTTGTAAGCCGTACAGAGCCTATTCACATCTTCCACTGTGAGCTGGTACGGTCTCACTGTCGGATGCAGATCGCACAATTTGAACATCAAACTGGAAAATTCTTCTCGACAGTCCTTAGGGAAAAGAGTCCTAGATTCATGGAAAAAAAGATATATAAATCAGAAAGAATTTATGACGTTTCCAGCCATCGCTTTATTTGACAGTTCAGACCCCATGTTTTCGCATGAGCAGTAACTGCTGATACACTTACCCCACGCACTTAACACTGTATTTCTGCCGAAAACTGAATAGATGACGCGCCATTTTTTCGAACAACGTAAAGTTATGCACTGTTCGTGGCTCTATCAACGGAGTGAAAGTGACAACGCCTACATCCACCTTCGGTTTTGGAACAAAGGCCCGTCCTAGAAAGTTAAAAGAATATATATAGCCCGTGGAAGCATGTATGTATATAGAAAATAAGAAAAAAAAAAGCAAGATAAATGAAAGCAACCCAACATACCGGGAATAACAAACCGAAGGGATGGTTTTGTCCAAGCCTGCGCCATTAGTGAAAGTCGGCACCTCTGTGGCTCTGATGCTTGGGCTACTAAACGTTCGGCGACTTCCTTCTGAAAGGTCAAGGTCATTCTGACCCTACCAATTGCCCATGCATCATTGCGCTCCGAAATGGCCTTCAACCATTGTATTATCAATGCAGTTGATATGCTGAATGGTAAATTACCAATGAGATGAATATTGGGACACCGATCATCCCAATTTCGATGCACCTCGCATGGAAAGGTATTCGACATAGACGTGCTCATAATATCATCAATTAAAATTTCCATCTGTCCACCTATGCCTGCAAAAGCATCAGCCAGCAATTGCAGGCTTGGCATAAATCTGTTATCTTTCTCAATGACAATCAATTTTTTAGGACATCTCCTGATAATGGCTCTGGTCAAACCACCTGGACCTGGGCCTACTTCCACTATATGCGCATCTTCCAAGCGTCCAGCCATTTTTACAATCTTATCTGATAGACGTTCATCCATGAGGAAGTTCTGTGACAACTGCTTAATCGCACGAAGTCTATACAGTTTTACTAAGTCTCGAATAGTTGGCAGAGGTGGGAGCCTTAGTCCACTCATGTTGATTACTTTTTTCACAATGCAAGAATTGGCGTTGAGTTAACTAGAACTGAAGGTTATAACAAGCCACAAGTTATAACAAGTATTATTTGTAAATTAGTTAGAAACTTTTTCAGGCTCATCAAAGTCATCAAGAAATTTTTCCTGTTTAATGGAAATCATGGAATATGCATAAATTCCGATAGCAGTAAGTCCCAGGAAAGAGCCAAGCATTAAATTCTTCCTGCGTACTTTCTTCAGCTTTTGTACGCGTTCTAAATTTTGTTCCTCAATCAATTTCATAAAAACTGCATCTGTGGATGATATTTTTCGTGCATCAGTCTCTGGATTTAGCTTCGGCATGCGTTCTTCGTCCATATCTTGCAAACCTAGTAAAGACATCAGGAATATAAAATATTTAATTGAACCTTAACACTAAGCGTACCATCCACGGGTCATTTGACCCTTTTAAAGCCAAAAATACGTTTATAAAAATTATCGGTATGTTTAGTATTAACGTGCATGAAGGGTCGAACATTTTTTGTCATTAATATCTGTATTTCTTGTTGTTTTCACGTATGAATAAACACCCGAAGACTTGTTTATACGATCTAGAACTTAGAAATAAGAAAAAGGTATGGAATCATCGTTACACTGTAATTTGGCGACACATAAACGAGTTTAGCCTGACGACGAACGCAAAAGTATCGCATGAGGTTAACTTTTAACCACAGCCTGTGACACTCTCAAGTAAGTTAGAATTGGAATTGACGACAGAGAACTAATACGAGATCAATGCAGACGATAAAGCTTACCAATGCCAATTTACCTCGTTTTTCCGGCGTAACTTCAACGAGCCGCTATCGCGTTTTCAGTTCAAGCAGACGATCCTGCAACGGCCAACGACGAGTGGATTTGGCCGGAATGCCAAGTCGGCAGCAAAATTAAGCCAACGGGCGTCGCGTGAGGCGTACACATAGTGTAACAAGTTTTCAGCTGCAGCTGTGATTTCTACTTTACCGACGCAAGGCAGGTAACACTGAGGGCGCGAATGACACTGCTCCGAAAACTGCGAATATCGCGAACCGTTGCGTACAGTGCTGTCTCTCTCTCTTTATCTAACTGTAAGTACATATATGGATCTGAGAGAAACAGAAATGTTTTCGCGTTTCTGGTAATAAAATTCAGAAGCAACCCTTGGTGTATAGTGGGTCGGTATATAAGTTAAAATGATCAGTAAGATGACATTGAAAACACATTGAGGTGTCATCATTTCCAGTAACAGACGTCTCGGAAAACTTCAAAGTATGACGAAAGATACGTTTTTGATGCACTGCATACTATCTCTTCTTTTCTCGTTTCGTTCGTGCAGCAGCTTTTTATCTTGCTGTTTACAGTGATTCTTCACTTGTTTTTAAGCTCCCTTATTCCAGGCAATGGAGTCGATCCCTATTAAAACCTTGAGGAATGTCATGATATTAAAGGCACATTCTCTTCGCATGATAACATGGGGTAGCACAAGTAAAGTATGGTGCTCAGGGCGCTCTGTTATATTAAAAGTTATAGGAACATGGGCTCCTTTAAGGTATGTCTTTCGCATTGACGAATTATACAGGTGCCCTAGATGCGCTGCTTCGCTGATGTGCTGATGTACTGATGGTCCATGCCATAGTGACCTTATGTCACTTCCTGTACCTTGGTGAGATTGAGGTTGAGTTCGAGGTTGAGGGTCAGATGAGAGGAAGTCAGATGAGGTTGAGCTTGCGCCCTGATGAGCTTTGATCGTAAGCATAGGAAAGCGTATGGGAAGTTCCGAGGGAGGAAAATGTCGCTGGAGTGGGAGAAGCAGAAGACCCGGGCAGTGCAAGCCGGGCACCCTGCCCGACACAACGGCCACTCTCGTGACTCGCTCATCCTCGCGAATGCGAGCAACCCTCCCAAGCAGCCAGAACCACAGAGTCTTCCTCAACGAATAACAACAGGTTGGTCATCCGCATCGCTCTTCCTTCTCTTTCTTTCTTCTCTGTTTTCTGGTCGCCTTCTGTTCTGACCTCGGGCCTCCGACTGGTTCTTTCTTCTTATTAATAAACCGATGCTCTTTTGACATCACTTGTCCTCACTGCCCTAAAATGTGAGAATAGGGAGCAAAGGAGAGAAAGGAGTTGAGAGGGGGGGGGGGGGGG